AATTCTCCTGCCTCAGCCTCCCAAGTAACTGGGATTACAGGTGTGCACCACCATGCCTGGCTAATTTTTTGTATTTTTAGTAGAGATAGGGTTTCACCATGTTGGCCAGGCTGGTCTCGAACTCCTGACCTCAGGTGATCCACCTGCCTCAACCCTGCAAAGTGCTGGGATTCCAGGTGTGAGCAATATGCCCAGCCAGGCTTAGTAATTTTTTAGATTGATAAGACATGGGCCAGAATTGAAGCCAAGTTCAGACAACTCAAGTGTGGAGACCCCCTTGGCTCTAATGTCAGTGGCTTTCACTGTGGGGAAGGGCATTTGTCCCTCCTGGGAGATGCTGCTGCTGCTGCAGCACATTTGCCCCTTGACTGTGGATTTGGCACAGGGAGAGGCTCTCCGGGGCTAACCCTGAAGCCATCCCATGCTTTCCCTTATTTAAATGAATAAATGTTGGGATGGGTTTAGTGCTCATACTTGTAATCTCAGCATTTTGGGAGGCTGAGGTGGGAGGATGGCTTGTGGCTGGGAATTTGAGACCAACCCTGGCAGCATAGCAAGACCCTGTCTCTACAAAAAAAAAATGTTTAAAAATTAGTTGGGTGTAGTGGTTCACACCCGTAGTCCCAGCTACTCGGGAGGCTGAGATGGGAAGATTGCTTGAGCCCAGGAGTTTGAGGCTGCAGTGAGTTATGATTGCACCACTGAACTGTAGGCTGGGCAATAGAGTAAGACTCTATCTCAAATAAACAATAAATAAATAAATAATACACGTTAATTTAATGTAATCTGACAAACAACAGTGGACTGAAATACCATCTCCAGGTGCCTGTCATCCTCAGAGTGGGCGGGCATGAAAGACTTTCATTATGGGCAGGCGCGGCTAATCCCAGCACTTTGGGAGGCTGAAGTGGGCAGATCATTTGAGGTCAGCAGTTTGAGACCAGCTTGACCTACACAGTGAAACCCCATCTCTACTAAAATACAAAAATTAGCCGGGCATGGCAGCAGCCACCTGTAATCCCAGCTACTCGGGAGGCTGAGACAAGAGAATCGCTTGAACTCTGGAGGTGGAGGTTGCAGTGAGCTGAGACTGCACCACTGCACTCCAGCCTGGGCGACAGTGTGAGACTCCATCTCAAAAGAAAAAAAAAAAAGACATTAATCATGGATACAAATGGCACTGGTGTGACCTGAAGAGAGAAGAGCTTCTGCCAGTCTCCCAGAGCAGCAGCGAATGGGATATTCCCCCTTCTCCATTGGGGAATTGCTCGAAAACAACAAGCAGAACAAGAAAGAGAAATACGACTGGGAGTCAGCTGTCTCCTGAAGCACGGTGGTGAGGAAGGAAGGGCTGCAGAAAGAGAGACGAGAAGGTCCAAGGGGCCGGCCCTGAGGGCACAGCTGAGTCCTCCAGGCTAGGAGGCTCCCTCCCTGAGGAGCACACGCATGCATCCCATGTCTGAGACAACACCAATAGGTGTTGGGCCAGGGCTGGGCCCTTCCCTGAAATCTTGAGACCCAAAAAGGGCAGCACAGGACAGGGAAAGGTATGGACAAAGCCTGATTCCAGGACACGGTGGGGAAAAGTTTACAGGAGCTCACAGACCCTGGTGAAAGGATTCCTGCTAGCCTGGAACATAATTCAAGTTCTCCTGGAAGTATTAATAGCTGGCCCAGGAAGAATTCTCCTCATCCGAAGATAAGAAATAACCGAGAAAGAACCGACTCGGCAATTTGAAGCTGGAAAATCCGGCCCCAGCTCCTCTGATATTGGCCGTGACTCACTGTTCCGGCCACACAGTCCTCTGGTGACCCAAGATGAGGCCCCGCCCCAGGCTTGCTCTCGACCTCTCAGGAAGTGAATTGATGCAGGGAGCATTTTGCACTCCCAGAAGGCTGTGGCCTAGAGCCAAGGGAAGGAAATCCACCCCTGCAAGAGGATTCTAAGATGCAAAGGGTGTTTCAACCCATCCCTGGAACCACCCACCTCTCAACTTATTGTTACATCAAATAAAGGCTAAGTTATTTTAATCAGGATTTTCAGTTACTTGCAACCAAAAGCATAATAATGAAAAGTTCTATAGAATGTACCATTTTTGAAATATAAACAGATAAACTAATAATGCAAACACATATGCTTATACATGCATAAACTATAGAACAATAAATGAGAAGCTAGGAGAAGTGTGGCTTTGCGGGAAGAAAACTGAGTGTCATGGGGATAAGGTGAAAGTAGGCCCTTTTGTCCACTTTGGAGATTTTTTTTTTTTGAGACAGGGTCTTGTGTTTCCCAGGCTGGAGCATAATGGCATGATCATGGTTCACTGCAGCCTCTAACTCCTGGGCTTAAATGATCCTCCTACCTCAGCCTCCCAAGTAGCTGTGACTACAGGTGCACCACCATGCCTTGCTGATTTGTTTTAATTTTTGTAGAGATGGAGGTCTCATTATGTTCCCGAGGTTGGTCTTGAACTCCTGGGCTCAAGTGATCCTCCCACCTCAGCCTCCCAAAGTGCTGGGACTACAGGCATGAGCCACAGTGCCCAGCACTGTTTTTCCTCTGGATATACTACCTAGTCAAAATAAGTATATATATATATTTTTTACATCAGGAGATTCTCATTGCAAATATTGCTGCTTTGCTCTCAGGGCTCCAGGCTATAGACAGGCTGACCTACCCTGGGCAAGATCCCAGCATCTCCATTTGTCTCCAGTCCTTGTCTTTTCAGCCTCTCCCATTTGCTCTCCATTTCTGCACATGGTCCTGACTGCCCCCTCCCCTGCCTTCTAGGTGGGGCACTCAAACCTGGGATCTGGCACAGAGGCTCCGCCCCAGCTCCTCTGACAGTGGCGGCAACTCCCAGTCCTCAGGGAGCGTGAGGCAGGACATTGCCTCTGGGACCTCTTGTTGGTGCTGGCCCATCTCCACCAGCTTTGCCCTAGACCTCTCCGGAAGCAAATCTGACTCTGGGTGTATTTTCCTCACTCAGAAGACTGTGGCCCCAAGTTGAGTAAACACATGCCCAGCAATCCCAGAGGACGCCACAAAGCAGGACTAAGCGCAGCCAGGGGAGTGTGGACTGTGAATCTGAAATGAGCTGCTGATGGAGGGTTGACTCTCAGGAAATGAGAAGGTCTTTGCAGATCAGCTGGCAGCTCCTGAGGAGATTATTTTCTCCCTGAGTAGATGTTAGCTGAAGATACACTGACTACCAGGGGAAGACATGAACTTTTGGAGAGAAAAACTGCCCAGTACAGGTGTCAAACACAAGGCTGCTCGGAGCGGAAGTTGGCCATTCCATCCAAGACGACCAGGTTGCTCGTGATTCCAACGCAGACTCGAGACTTGTCTAGGTAGAGGGTGAAGAAATCCAGTGGCCTGTGGGCCTGAAAGATTACTCCCATCTTCCTGAAAAGTAGGGGCTTGGGGAGCTGGGAGTGCATTGTGCAGAGGGGAGGGGGCTTCTGAAGCCACAGGCTAAAAGGGAGTCTGGTTCTTCCCCATGTGGGCTGGGAGACTCACATCTAAAATCTACTTCATAGTTTATATTCTAGGGTAGTAAATTTCTTTCTTCCCTTCTTTTTTTTGGGGGGTGTGGTGATATGGGAAGAAAAAAGGATCCAATAACAAATGATCTGATGTTCTAATAATATTTAACAACCCTTGAATTAGGTGTCTGCGCTGTATTGAAAGAAAATATTTGGCTATTGGATTAAAACCTAAAAACCCTTAGAATAACAATAAATAAAGTACAGTTCTGACAACCCAAAACACAGTGAACGAGTGCCCCAGGGGAAGTCTGAGGGCTTGATCCAGAACCGCAAATGCAAGCTTGAAATCTCTTTGAAGTCTTAGGCTTGGTCTTTGAAATTCATCCAGTTTTGCCTTCTACCCATGAATGTTTATTTTAATATGAAAATCATGTTTTTTCTCCTCTAAAAATCACTCAGTCAAACCCAATGCTCTAGGAGGCTGTGGCAGGGGAACACATGGACCAGTTTCAGATGCCCAGGGTGTCCATCATCAGGTGTCCAAAATCGCCAGCCACATTTAGACAAAGGCTGGTTGGCGACTGGGCTGCCGTAGATGGCAAGGACAGGGAGCACAGGTGCCAGATTTTGGGTGATGGCCAGAGATGATCTTCAGCACCTTTCATCAAAGAACGAGGAAAAATAATTCTACTGGGAGTCACACACACAGGGGCTCACAGGACCTCTAATATCCTTGGCATCCTGGTTATACTATGCATTAGTTCAGGGAGGTTAGGCTGAGATAACAAAATAAGCCCAAGTTTGCAGTAGCTCAACACCATAGAAATATAACAGCTCCTAGAGGGTTGAATGGGCAGCTCTACCCCGTGTAGTCATCCAAGAACCAAGGTTGATGGCAGCTGATGGTAGTCACCTTTAACATATAGCTTTCCTGAGGGTTGCCACCTCAACCCTCCAGAAGAGGAAACAAGCATGTCTGAGCATGCCTGCAAGGTTTTTGTGTTTGTTTTTGTTTGTTTGTTTGTTTTTGAGATGGAGTCTCGCTCTTTTGCCAGGCTGGAGTGCAGTGGCACGATCTTGGCTCACTGCAACCTCCACCTCTCGAGTTCAAGTGATTCTCCTGCTTCAGCCTCCTGAGTAGCTGGGACTACAGGCATGTGCCACCACGTCCAGCTAATTTTTGTATTTTTAGTAGAGACGAGGTTTCACCATGTTGGCCAGGATGGTCTCGATCTCTTGAGCTCGTGAACTGCCCACTTTGGCCTCCCAAAGTGCTGGGATTACAGGCATGAGCCACCGCGCCCAGCCTGCAAAGTTTTTATAGGCCAGACCTGGAAATGACAGACACACACGGCTGCTCACAGCACTCAGTCATATGATCATACTGAACTCCAGGTATAACCGCATACCCCTATTTCTCCAAGAGAAAGAGAACGAGTTATTTTGTTAATTACTTTTTTCTTCTTTTCTCTTTCTTCCTTGTTCCTTGTTCCCCACTTCCCACTTAGCTCTTTAGACATGCAATGAAAACCTTCAGCTTCCCTTCGCCAGAGGCTCCCTATATGATACTCCCAGATGATCTAACTACCTGCTTACTTAGAAACTCCAGAGCCATAACTCTCTCTCACCAGGAGATCACCTCAAGAGACAACACTCAATCTGCAACCTAAAGCATGTCCACGATGGAACTCGCTCCTACCTGGAGAACATCTCCGGACAATGGCCACCTTACAACCTAGCTCTGCCCAGGACGGCGCCAGCTGGACCACTCAGTAGATAAGGCAACACAGTGACTCATGTAGACCTTGCACCTGCTCGCTCCCTCCCCTGCATGCTGCTCATGCCAGGTTCCCGTTTAAAAGCCCTGCTTTCTGCCCACAAAGGGAAGCAGTACCCTTAAAGGCAGGAACCTGTACATCTTCCCCTAAGCTAAGACTTAGAATAAAGTCACTTTCTTTACACCAGAACTCACCCCTCTTCATTGGACTCTGCAAGTAGCAAGTGACTGAACCTGAATTTCAGTTAACACAAGGAAGTCTGGGAAAGAAGGTCTAGCTGTTTATTCAGGAAGGGAAACCTAAATTTTAAAGAGTGGCACTTTTTTTACACAGCACCTGAGGCCAGGAAATGACATGAAGTTGTGCACATTCATTTCGGGTAGATTAAATAATGAGATAGCTGCCACACCTGTCACCAGCACATTTCTGGGTAATCCTAGGCTCACTTCCGTACTTCAATTATGTAAAAGAGCCTTTGCTCCCAGTGAGCGACTGGAAAATGTACTGCATCAGTTATTTATTTCTGAGCATCAGTTATTCCCAGAGCTTGATCTGATTCAGTTAATTCCAGGCTCTCTGTAATGAAATTAATAAAAATACTTGTCACTCTAAGTAACTGACTAGGTACATTGACTAAGAGGTCTGAAGACCTATATTTTTTTGCTTAAATGATCTCTTTATTCTTAAAACTGTCTTCCATTTCAACCTTTTAACTGCTTAAAAAGCATTTCTCTAAGTTTCCATGGCACTAATTCAAATTAGAGTCTCACTCTGTTGCCTGGGCTGGAGTGCAGTAGCACAATCTCAGCTCACTGCAGCCTTTGCCTCCTGAGTTCAAGCGATTCTCCTGCCTCAGCCTCCTGAGAATCTGGGACTACAGACGTGTGCCACCAAGCCCAGCTAAGTGTTATATTTTTAGTAGAGATGGGGTTTCACCTTGTTGGTCAGGCTGCTCTCGAACTGCTGACCTCAAGAGATCCACCTGCCTTGGCCTCGCAAAGTGCTGGGATTACAGGCATGAGCCACCACACCCAGCTGGCATATGACCTTTTTCATGGTAAGTTTGCCCTGCTAACTTCATTTGTGCTAGATCAAGCACAAATGGGGTTTATTGTTTTGCCAGCTCTAATGGTCACTATTTGCAATATATAAAACCAGCAAAACATCTATGACAGATCTTCCTCCTAATTGAGGCACTTTATACTCAAACTCAGAACCACTGTTTTCTGGCTGCTTTTGACTAGAAGGTGAACATTCCAGATATAGTTTGGATGTTTGTCCCCTCCAAATGTCATGTTGAAATGTGACCTCCACTGTTGGCAGTGGGGCTTAGTGGGGAGTGTTTGCATCATGAGGAAGGATCCCTCATGAATGGCTTAGTGCCCTCCTCATAGAAATGAGTGAGTTTCTCACTCTGTTAATTCACATGCTGGTGCCATGCTTATATAGCCTGCAGAACCACAAGCCAAATAAACCTCTTTTCTGAATAAATTACTCAGACTCTGGTGTTCCTTTATAACAAAGGAAAACAGACTAACACAGTCCCCTGTGTTAGTCTCCTAACACCCTGGTTGCATCTCTGAGCCAACGTCCTACACAAGGCAGACTATATAAACTATTTAATGAAAACTCACCTTTCCAAGGCCAAGAGCCACCTTGAATCTATACCATTTCCTCCAGGCCTTCTATTTCCAGAAGGTTAGGGCTCATTTCAAAGCTCTGGGGCTCACACAGGTCTGTCTGCCATTGCTTTATCTTGCCTCTTAGCAACTTGGTGGCACCACATCGAGTCTCTGTACAGTATGTCCTGAGCTGTGCCTTTGAACCTTTACCCAAAGCTACCGCATTGCACAGCTCCAGCGAGAGCTGTGCTCTCTGTGCTACATGAAGACCTTCCATTCATTATAAGAATTTGGGAAGACCACATCTGAATTCAGGCTTTCAAGTCTTTGGGGAGAATGCATAGGTGGTTCTTGAAGCTCCAGTTCCATCCTACAGGAAACATTATGTCAGCTGCAATTGAACCAAAAGGGGGGAGCCTCCATTTTTAATGAGATGGTTTGAAAACCAAATCATTACAAACATCTGGTAATATGGAATAATGTAGGATAAACATGATTTTAAATGCAGCTTGAAGAGTGAGTTGAATACCAGAGCAGTGAGCAAGTGAGCTGATACTGTGACTGCCCAGAAATCATCAACCTCAGTAACCTTGGGGCTTGGGTTTCGGTATTCCTGCTAAGATAGAAGGCAGAGTTTTCATCTCATGCAAGTAAAGAAGACTCCCACAGCAAGTAGGAACACTTAAAGAACAACAATCTCAATAAAAGATTAGACTAGATAAATATCCATGTAATATCACAGTGGCAGTATAAGAGAGCTTTTGTGTTACTTACTGCACTGGGAGAAGAAAAAAATCCTTCCTGGAAATTTATAACTGCACTTCATTCAAATTTGGGTTCAAATTCACACTATCAGCATGGTTCACAAAAAGCCAAAAAAATAATATGAAAATGGTTCCAGCCAATAAAAACCCCCAGTGCACCAAACTCAGGCTGCACAAGATTTTCACAGAGGATGAGCTCACAATCAAAACCTTCACAATGCCCGAGGAAATAATCCACCATGATTAAGAACCAGCAGGCATAATAAACAATAGTATTAGAACCCAAGGACTTCAGAAAATTGGATAATCTTATAAATTATAAACTAAGAGTATTTGACATGACTAATGTCAGAAAGAAAGGAAATCAAAACATAAGAAAATAATATAACATTATCAAAAATGAAATCAGGTAAAAATAAGAAATGATCAAACAAAAATTAAAAATATAAAAATAAAAATCTAGCCAGGCAGGGCAGTTCATGCTTGCAATCCCAGAACTTTAGGAAGTCAAGGTGGGAGGATCACTTGAGTCCAGTAGTTCAAGACCAGCCTCAGCAACATAGCAAGTCTCCATCTCTAAAAAAATTTTTTTAATTAGCTAGCAAAATAGCAGGCATCTGTAGTTACAGTTACTTGGGGATCTGAGGGAGAAGGATTTCTTGAGCTCAGGAGTTCAAGACTGCAGTGAGTAGCTGGGTGCAGTGGCTCATGCCTGTAATCCCAACACTTTGGGAGGCCAAGGCAGGTGGATCACTTGAGCTCACAAGTTCAAGACCAGCCTGGGCAACATGATGAAACCCCATCTCTACTAAAAATACAAAAAACTAGCCAGGCATGGTGATGCATGCCTGTAGTCCCAGCTACTCAGGAGGCTGAGGTGGGAGGTTGGCTTGAGCCAAAGAGGTGGAGGTTGCAGTGAACCAAGATCACACCACTGTACTGCAGCCTGGACACTAGAGCCAGACCTTGTTTCAAGAAAGAAAGAAAGAAGGAAAGAAAGAAAGAAAGAAAGAAAGAAAGAAAGAAAGAAAGAAAGAAAGAAAGAAAGAAAGAAAGAAAGAAAGAGGAAAAGGAAAATGAAAGACGCAGTGAGCTATGATTGTGCCACTGCACTCCAGCCTTGGTGACAGAGTACAAAACAAAACAAAAACAAATTTAGTAATTGAAATGAAAAACTCAGCAGCTAGGTTTCACCTGATTTTAGACACAGCTGATTAGAGAATCAGTGAACTGGAAAGTAAATTTGAAGAAATCATACAACATGCAGTACACAGATCAAAAAATGCAAAAACACTCAGAATATGTAAATCCATAGAGACATAAAGCAAATTGCTGGTTGTTAGGGTCTGGGGGGATGAGAGAATGGAGACCAATTGCTTAATGTATATAAGGCTTTCTTTCAGAATGATGAAAATATTTATTGCTAGATAGAGGTGGTCGCTACATAACATTGTGACTGTACTAAATTTCACTGAATTTCACTTTTAAATGGTTAATTTTATGTGAATTTTTACATCAATAAAAATATATTTTTAAGAAAGAAATATTCAGATAAAATGAAAATATCCAAACACATGTAATAGAAGTTGCAGAAAGAGAATTAAGTGAATAAGGAAAGCCAGTACTTATAGAGAGAATGGCTGTAAGTTTTCTGGAATTTATCAAAGACATGAATCTGTGGATTCAGGAAGTACAACACGTTGTAAGAAAAATAAACAAAACAAGTCCATATCTGAATACACCAAGATAAAAATGCAAAACACAAGACAAAGAGAAGATCTTATAAGCCACCAGAGAGGGCATTCTTTAAGCTAATAGTAAATATATTCTAACAGTAGCAATAAAAACCAAAATGCAATGGGATAATATTTTTAGAGTGCTGAAAGAATACAACTCTTAATCTAGATTTCTACAATCATTAAAGCTATTGTTCAAGTGTGAGGGAAACTTAAAAATATTTTCAGGCCAGGCAAGGTGGCTCATGCCTGTAATCCCAGCACTCAGGGAAGCCGAGGCGGCAGATCACCTGGGGTCAGGAGTTCAAGATCAGCCTGGACAACACGGTGAAACCCCAATCTCTATTAAAAACACAAAAATTAGCTGGGTGTGGTGGTGCACACTTGTAATCCCAGGTATTCAGGAGGCTGAGGCAGAAGAATCATTTGAACTCAGGAGGCAGAGGTTACAGTGAGCTGAGATCACACCACTGCACTCCAGCCTGGGTGACAGAGCAAAATTCTGTCTCAAAAGAAAAAAGAAAAAATATATATATTTTCAGACAAACCAAGACCAAGAGCATTTAGCCCATTAACTCTCACTGAATGAGCACTTAAAGGATTTCTATAAATTCTTTTAATTTATTTAAATATTGGAAGAAGCAATTAAACCCAGAAGAAACAAACATGACGTAAAAGCAATGGTAAGCAATGAAACTGGTAAGCATTCAGAAAAATCTAAACAAGGAACAGCTATACAAGAATGATGACAGTGTTTAGGAATGAGGTACAAAAGTGAAATAAAATACTAGATAACAATGACATCTATGACTGAGGAGAGTTGGAGGGATAGGGAGTTAAACATTCCAACAACTGTGTATTGTGCAAGAGGAAGGCAGAAAGAACAACTGAGTAAAGTCGGTGGTTCCCCCCTGTAATCTCAGCACTTTGGGAGGCTGAGGTGGTGGATCACTTGAGGTCAGGAGTTTGAGACCAGCCTAGCCAACATGGCAAAACTCCATCTCTACTGAAAATACAAAAATTAGCCAGGTGTGGTGGTGCGCACCTGTAATCCCAGCTACTTGAGAGGCTGAGGCACGGGAATCACTTCAACCCCGGGAGGTGGAGGTCGCAGTGAGCTGAGATTGCGCCACTGCACTCCAGCCTGGGCAACAGAGTGAGACTCTGACTCAAAAAAAAAAAAAAAAAAAAAAAAAAGGACAGCAAATAAAGACTTTGTTAATTCAAGAACAAAGTTAAAAATTGAAAAGTAGCCACAGAAGAATAGAAATAGAATAATAGAATATATACCTTCCCAAGCAGCAGCCAAGTAAGTAAGAAAAGGGAAAAGAAAACATAATCATTCCAGTGGAAAGCAGAGAAGGATAAAATAAGTAAAAAAGAAAATGTATGTATGTTGTAAACAGAAAACACAAAACAATATGGTAGAAATAAAGTGTTTAAATGTGGGTTATATAAAATATACGCTAAATTGTAACAGTATATAAAACATAAATAGATTAAACTTATGTGTTCAATTTAATTCAATTCATAGAAAAGGATGCAACCCACAAAAGATTTAATACAACTGATTATAAACATATGAAAATAATTCTCTTCTAATTGAAGAAAAATGAACTCACATACAGATTTTTAAATAACAATCTTTAGTGCTGAAGGAACTATACTGGCATTCTTTTCAATGTTGACTGTAAAGTGAAACGGTGCAAATTGTCCGGAGCACAGTTTGCAAAATGGACCAAAACTTTAAAATATGCACACCCAGCAATTATACTTGGAGGAAATATTCAGACATGTGTGCAGAAATTTATCTACAAGGATGTTCTAATGAATTATTTATAGTATCAAAAACCTGAGACCTGAATATCCCACAATTAAGAGAGTTGTTAAATTACTACTCATGCTATTGCTCATATTACCAATATTAGTAGTAAATGATAACATTTATGAAGAGTTCACTATGTGCCAGGTGTTGTTCTAAACATTTTACTGATTAACATATTTTAATCTCCATTACAACAATGTGAGAGAGATATTATCTTTCTCATTTTGGAGATAAGGAAACTCATTAAGTAAATAATGGGACTAACATTTTTAAATTAAAAAAGAGAAAGAAAAGAAAACTAAAGTACATGGAAATTAGTAATTTGCCTGAAGTCACATAACGATCAAATAGAAGAGCCACGAGCTAGCATTTGACCTGATGGAGTAAGTCTCCAGAACCACGTCACGTGCATTGGTTAGGTTACGGAGGCATAAAACACTTGTTCTAGGAAATACTGTGTTTTAATAACACCAACCATGTGAAACAATATGTATCATAAATCCTAATATTGTGAAAACACACATGTACACTAGTATAAAAGTCATA